TGTTGTAAATTGTATTAAATATTGCTTTATATTATTGCTATAATTGAAAAATAAAGTCTTAGTAAAAAGAAAAAAAAATATAAAAATTTGAAGACATTTTCTAGCCATCATCCGGAATATCATCTGAACCCAACCTGGTACACATTTTCTGGATGCTTAAGGTGATCAACACTTATTATGATCAGATTTTTAAAGGTTAGTTTAATATACAAATTTACATTAGCCATGAATATTTCTAAATTATGCAGATTAACTATATCAGTACGGTATTGGATGTGAAATATCTCCAATTTTAATGCCTGTTCTGGCGTTATATATTATTCGAGTTGGCATTGGAAAATTATAGTGAATTGGCGTAATATATTTTTAAAGAGGTATTTTACACTCTATATAATATATATCTTAAAATCTTATAAATTTCTTGCTTATTTAAATTATAGCGTCTCATATCAATAGTTATATTATTATTTAGTTGCATATCTAATATTAATTCAAAAATGTATAACTATTTTATATTGAAGTTGTCCACCATTTTTAGCACAACGACCCTTAGCAAGTGATCACGAATTAAATATATATAAGGTTGTAATTCAGGATAAACGATGATTAGGTAGTATTTAGTATTATTGTAATATTCCGAGATATTAATAAGGAGAACTCTATAATCGTAATTATGTGTGTTAGTTTATTGATTTAAACTATTTATTCTTTAATCATTATTTGTTCACGATTGAAGCTAAATTGGCTCAAACCCTATCAAGCTCTTCTACTAATCGTAACACCAGCAATCAATCATATCAATATAATCGGTCAAAAATTATGACCGATCTGATGATCGTGACCGATTATACAATATGAATTAATTATCGATCTCATTTGTGCATAATCGATTAATGAATTCCAATCTCTAATCTGCAAAGAATGCTAATAAAACATCTAAGACTAGGTAAGAATTTGTTATTTGTTATTTAATGAAATTGGAATTGAAAAGGATGAAATAAGCATTCAAAAATCAGAAAAGATTGGGAATGTTGATGAAATATATAATCCAAAAACTCGAACTATAGTTGAAAAGGCTGAATATAAAATAATCAAGAATCAGTAAAGATGTTAATGCTAGTGAAACAGGTAATGCTGGATATTGTTATAATAAAAGGATTGAATTTGAAAAGATGAATATAAGGCATTTATTTATTTTCAAAATCTGCAAAAATAGAAGCATGATAGAATACATAATTCAGAAAAAAAAATTTTTAATGGAATTAGAAGTGAAAAAGATAAATATAAAGCATTCATTTATTTTTAAAATTATGCAGATATTAAGAATGCTGATAGTACATATAATCCGGGTAAGTAATTGTTATTTTAATGAAATTGGAATAATTCATCTACATATTGTCAATGTGATGACAAAGATAAGAATTTGGAGTTTTTTATTTATTTATTTTTTTTTTGAAAAAATAATGCGATATGTAAAATAAATGATATTTAATTTTTTAATAAAAAAATTTTTTAATAAAATTAAAAAAAAGATGGATTTTTTTGTTTTCACATTATTGAATTTGTTTGTTGATCATAGTATCAAATTTACTCTAAATTGATTTTGATTAAATTTGACCTAAAACTAGCCATAATTGTTTTGGTGCTAACACAAGATCAGAATTGGAACTTACATGTTGCATGAATCACATTATGTATATAAATAGAACAATGATTTTATTAACTTCCACTCAACTTATTATTTTATATAAATTATTGAACCTTCACTCAAATTACTTAATCTTCACCCAAGTTATTTAATCTTCGCTTAAATTACCTAAGCTTTATTTAAATTATTTATTAAACCTTTGTTCAAGTTACTTATTAAACCTTCGCCAAAATTATTTTTTATATAATTTATTAAACCTTTGTTCAAATGACTTATTAAACTTTTACTAATTATTTCTCTCAAATTACTTACTAAACCTTCACTCAAGTTATTTATTAAACCTTCGCTTAAATTATTTTTTATATACTCCTTTACTTAAATTATTTATTATATAACTTATTATATTCAGCAAAGGTTTCACCTATATCGATTTGGCTATACTATTATAATTAAATAACTTCGGTATCTTTGGTCTTTTCGAACAGGATGATGCTTTAATATAAGTATTTGAAAGTCTATAAGTTTATACTAACATTTGCTCAAATTACTTATTAAACTTTACTCAAATTTTTTTTTATATAGCTTACTAAACCTTTACTCAAATTACTTACTAAACCTTTGTTCAAGTTATTTATTAAACCTTCGTTTAAATTATTTTTTATATATTTACTAAACCTTTATTTAAATTATTTATTATATAACTTATTATATTCAGCAAAGGTTTTACCTATATCGATTTGGCTATACTATTATAATTAAATAACTTTGGCATCTTTGGTCTTTTTAAACAGGATGATGCTTCAATATAAGTATTCAAAAGCCTATAAGTTTATTCTAACATTTGCTCAAATTACTTACTAAACTTTATTCATAATTTTTTTTTATATAGCTTACTAAACCTTTACTCAAATTATTTACTAAACCCTTGCTCAAGTTATTTATTAAACCTTCGTTTAAATTATTTTTTATATATTTACTAAACCTTTACTTAAATTATTTATTATATAACTTATTATATTCAGCAAAGGTTTCACCTATATCGATTTGGCTATGCTATCATAATCAAATAACTTCGGCATCTTTGGCCTTTTATAATTGTCTAAAAAAAAAATCAAAATTATCTTTATCTCTTCAATATAAGTATTCGAAGGCCTTGTATTTATTCTTTTTAACTTTAATTTATTACTAAAATAATGTCTAATATTATATATCATCAATAGTAGCTAATTTTTGATGATTTCCAAAGGTCTTGTGTTTGGTCGAATACTTTTAGAGTTGGGCTTGGATTAGATTTAAAGAAACTAAAATTTAGATTTAGATTTAGTTAGATTGGAATTTAGATTAGTATCAGATAAATTGGGTTTAAATTTGTTATTAATAAAGCTTATTATATTAAATATTAAAATATATATTGAATTGTAATTATTTGTCAAATTTAATATAAAAAATTCGACTACCGAATGAAATGGCCGATTCGACCTGAATTCAATAGTTGAATAATTAGCCAATTTTATATCGAATTATTGAAACACTTCGACCTGAATTTGATAGTTGAATAATTAGCTAATTTTATATCGAATTATTAAAATAATTTGACCTAAATTCGATAGTCAAATTATTTCAATAATTCAATATAAAATTAGCTAATTATTCGACTATCGAATTCAGGTTGAAGTGTTTCAATAATTTGATATAAAATTAGCTAATTATTCAACTACCGAATTCAGGTCGAATCGGCTATTTTATTCGGCAGTCGAATTTTTTATATTTGACTAGTGTATATCTTCAAATCTAATTTTAATAATATTAGAAATAAAAATGAAAATAAATATATATATATATATAATATTTAATTAATAAATATTCATACTTTATTTGAATATCCTGTAATTTTTCATTAAGATCACATGGGTCAATTTTTCCTTTTCATGGTAATAGTATAAAATAAATTGCATTTTGTAACAAGGATCCAGAATACATGCGATCATATGTAAGAGGCTACTATGTTCCCAATACTTATTAAATTTTTTAATCATGACCTGACTAATATTGCAAATAAAGCTGTCTAGATGAGATTTCATACTTATAAGATGAGTGCGAATATTCCAAACTGAAGCAAGGGAATTGTTAAGAGTCGGATATGAATTTGCTAACACTTTCAAAGTATCTATTTTTATTTAAAAAATTTTAAAAATTAATCTAGTTATTTGTATTAGATTATATAAAACTTTTCTTAATTTGATACAATAATTTAAATTAATACATATATTTATAAAAGGGTCTTAATATATTTGTAATAGCCTCTGCATTTTTCCATTTCTCATCATTAGGTATACTAGGAAATGTTTTATCTTAGTCTTTCATTCTAAGAATTATATTAGTAACTCGTGTAGCTGATTGTAGCATTAAAAACGTTGAGTTCCAATGTGTATTACAATCTAACAATGGAACTACAGGTTTTAGAGATTCAGATTCACAGATATCCAAAAACATTTGACGCCTTCTTGGTGATGAATGTATTGCTTTAACGCAACTACGAATCTAACCAAATTTAATAAGAGTATTATATATTACTATTTGCCAACTATTACAGTATATTATACTGAATAAAAATCAATATTAATTTTTAATTAAGTGTATAATTACCTTTCCAATAACTTCAGCAATTTTTTTTAGACCATCTTTCATGATGAGGTTTAGGATATAGGCAAGGCACCGGTTATGAAAAAGCTCTTCATCGATTTGTATGTAAGAGTCTTGGGAAATAAGATTGGCTAATTCATGAATTGCGACATTATTTGATATAGCATTGTCAAGAGTAATGGTTTGCAACTATAATTAAAGGCATTAATATTTAAGTTAAAATGTTCAGACTTATGCAATTTCAGAGATTTTTCATTGTTTGAACAATGAAAAATTCTCAAAATCACATAAGTCTGAATATTCTACTGTAATACAAGTATGAAAATATAAATTACTTTTTAACTACCTTAGTGGTAATAAACCATTCATCTGTTTCTGCTTTAATGCAATTGGTGACATTAATCCCAGTATATGGGTAAGAAATTAATAGAAATAATAATAACATTGAAATAAGATTCCAGTTCTTATCAAAAAAAATGCCATAACCAACAAGTATCCAAGTTGCTGAAGGGATGTCCAGCCATCACAAGTAAGAGAAATTTTACCCTCAGCATTTTGAAGAATTTCTTTAATCAATATTTTTCTTCTATTATAAGTTTTCATAATATCCCGCTTTATTGTATCAGCGCTAATACTAAAATCAGGTAATAGTCTATCAATAAGTTTACGAAAGCCCACCCTTCTATAAACTGGAAACTCAACTCATCCAAAACTACCATATCAGCAATATCTTTTCTAGTTGACTCCAGTGTTTAAAATTAATATGCACAAGATGCACATGTGCATGTAAGTTTTTTTATGTGCATGAATTTTTAAAAAATTAATGCACAACTATGCATTTAAAATTTAATAAAAATAGTTCACAAAAAATTTTGTGCATTAAAAAAAATTTATATTTTGATGCACAAAAATATATAATTTAAATATACTTTTTAATTATTAATAAATAAACCATGTTTGAATTAATTGTTAATAAACTAAGTTGTCTGCCATTGAATTGATCAGAATTGAATAAAAATTATTATGATTAAAATAAATTGAAATGTACAATAAGCATATATGAGCTTGCATTGTCAATTTTTAAATGCAAATATATATTACTGCATTTTTTAAATTACTATGACCAGTAAATTCTATTTATCACAATGGAATTAGAATTCTGAAAATGTGTGTGATACTTGGATTTTGCTAGTCAAAGTAATTTGAGAAGTGCTGTAATAAATAATTTTTATACTTAATAGTCAATTAATATAAATGAAATTAATTGATTAATAAATGATCTTTTAGTTTTTACTAAATTTTTCTATTACTAACCATAATTAATCTGTTATATCTTTTTTTGGTTATTTATCAATACAAAAAAAAAGATAGCATTTGTTACTAATAGCTAAAATAAATATAATGACTACTATAGTATTTATTTTACCAAAAAAATGAATTAATAAAATAAATAACTTAATAAAAAAATCTTGAATAAATATTTATGTATTTGGAATTATTGATTTAAATACATAAACTAATAAACAATCTTTATAACATGAATAAAATAAATTAAATACTTGTAAACAGATTTATATTATAATATTTACTAGCAACCTACAAGTTAACTTTCTGAATTTAATAGTTTAATATTGTAAAAATGAGAGGCTGATTTTAAATAAGCAAACTAATGAAATAAAATGCTCACATATTAAATAGTTTTATAATTACTTTATCAAATTTCTTATGTGGAGTTCTTATTTTTATACATTTGATACTACACTAATTATTCAATCCCATTAATTTATAAAAATATCTGTGCATCAAAAATTTTTTTTTATGTGCACACATGTGCATCAAATTTTTCACATGTGCATCAAAATTTGCACAGTACATGCACATTGTGTATGTAGTTTTTGATCTGAATTTTAAACACTGGTTGACTCTTTTGTATATAGCCTTTTTTTTGTTTGAGTATTAAACTTTAACTGAGTTTGACCATCAGATAAATTTGGTTTCAAACCATTATTATAATATAAGAACCTTTGGTATTTAAGACAGGTATCAAGATGATGCCAAAGATGAGATATTTCACATCCTTTTTTGTGACTTAAAAACTTAGTACAATAGTTATATTGGGCTTTTTCTTCATTTTTTTTATTAGTTACTTTGGAAAAACTATTCCATATAGTAGATGTATGCTTTAATGATATAAGTTGACTAGAGGTTTTACTGTAAGTTTGGCTAATGGCCCTATTGGTAGTTTCATTAGTAGTTGAGCTGTTAATTGAGACAGTATCCAAGTCAGTGATAGATGATGCTAATACAAATGATGTTGAGGCTGAGTCAATATTATAGTCCGATTTCATGGCTATCTATGGGGTCATTTATATTAGCAGGCTCATTGTGATTATTTATTGAGTTATTCATATTTGCAAGATCGTAATAATTATCCCTAGAGTTATCCATATTAACAGGCTTGATAGTGTTTAGTAAATGTTTAATATTAATTTTTTATTTTCACGAAGATTTAAAGTATTTCAGAAAAGTTTTATTAAAATAATTATAACATACCGCAGCTTTCCACTAGTCTTATTGTCTTATTAATACTTTAATCCATTGATACTTTAATATGTTAATACTTTAATACTTTAATACGTTGATACTTTAATACGTTGATACTTTTAATACATTGATACTTTAATATGTTGATACTTTAGGGGGCTTCCAGAAATTAGCTGATTTGGAGGTGGTGGGTGGGTTAGCTGAAGTGTCAGGTGTAATTCCGGCCGGAATTATCAAGTTCCGGCCAAAATTAAAAAAATTTTGGCCCAAATTATAAATTTGATATTAAACTTCAACAATAAATAACTTTTGTTATACTGGTCCAATTTTGATGA